TCCTGGCTTCGGATTGGCGCAGCACCAGCTGTAGTGGCCACTTGGGGGGGGTGAACCAATGGAAGGAAGACCTTTCTCTCTCTCTCTCTCACTGTCTAACTCTTCCTGTCAAAAAAAAAGGCATAATGTTTCTACAAATTTAAGTGAAAGTGAAATAATTCCATGACAAATATGTATACTTATAATAAGTCTAACTATGTGATGTTTGTCCCTCCAGGAACCGCCCACACAGAGGTAAATGAGCTTTGCATCCTCATCAACTGGCCAATTTCCTGTTTTTTGAGCCAGGCAGTGGCTCAAAAAAGAAATAAATGAGGGACTTTGGGCTCTGATATTTAACAGAGATGCTGCAGAGGTGTTTGATGAGGCGACAGAATGGGAACAAGCAGGAGGAGCTTCCTAGACGTCTGTTGGCATCCCGAGCCCATTTCATCACATAAACACCTCAAGCAAATTAAGCACCAGCGCTACATGAAGGCACTCGTGTTATTATTTCAATTTGAAAATAGGAAAAGCAAGGGACTTCTAGAAAGGCATTCAAAAAGGACATTTCATAAAAGGATCCATTTGCTCAAATCATAACTTCAGATAATCCATAGAAAGAAAATTAATCAAAGATGCACCCTTTTCAAAGCACTTGAAAAGATTTGACTCACAAAATTGTGGATAATATGGCAGGTTTTCCTCACTGGATGCGGGGAGAATGTTGATCCCCACAGAGTCATTCTGAGGGAAATGCAATCTAATACTAAAGACAAAATGGTCGAATTCCTTCCCATATATGCCCATTTACTTTCAACCTGTGTAGGTAATCTGACACTATGCTAAGATACCTTGCATTGACATTTTGTCTTACTTCTTGTACAAATATACACAAGCTAATGCAAAGGGAGAAAGGAAGAAGAAAATGGAGCTCCTCTCCCACATCCACTTTTAGCTAATCCCTCTAAAAGGCACTTTAACATTTACAGTCTTAATAAATTGAGAATTATACAAACAAAAGCCTCAGAAGGCAGGTATTAGTGTTTCCATTTAACTGATTAGAAAATAAATTTCAGATAACTTCAGTGGTTTCTCATAGTTGCACAGCAAATGGCCAAAACAGGCAACAATACAAGTCAAATTTCCAAGCTGTATTCTACACAACATATTATCTTCCTAACTCATTACCTTTTCATTAAAACGTTTTGAACACCTGCTGTGTTCCAGGGATGATACTAGGGGCTCACATTCTCATAAAGAAGGAAATAGGAAAGTAAATTTAAGCTGTGTGTTACTGACAGTCACCCACACATACAGCTATAGGAACACAATGCCCTGTGGAGTTTGCCTAAGCTTCCATGACTCGCATGAACAAGTCTAATGAGGTCCTGCAGATTTAAAGAATAGCGACCAATTCTCTATTTTAAAAAAATAGATCTTGTTAGGTTTGCATGGCTTTGACTTGCACAATTGCATTTTGTATATTTTCAATAGTTGCTAAGTAATTTCACCAACAATTTTAGTTTTATCTTCAGACGTGCAGAAGATAATGGCCTCACACTTACATGTGGTAGGAGTGAGCTGGAACTGAGTAGGAGTCACCCCTTGTAGAAAAATTACATGGTTTCCAGTTTCCCAAATGACTCTTTTCCTGCCTGCCCTTCAGTCAATTTTTTCTCTGCAGGAGCTTTGACCTTTACAATTGGTTACAACTGTATTAGAGTCCATGGTGTTCCACAAGAGACTCTACAGGGCAATCTTTAAAAGATTCTCTGGTTCAATGGAGATACTTTGTTGATTTTTGTGTCATGTTCTTTAGGAGAGATACAAAACGGGACTGCTTTTGTCAGAAAAAGATCTTTCCATTCCTTACTTCCCACAGGATACAGAAGTCAGTCCATGGAGAATTGAGTGGAAGCTATGAGTCAGGGCCGAGGCAGGAAATAGAAACGAGGCTAGTTATTTAACACAGATAATTTAATATACAGAATTGGTTAAACAGGTATTGGGGGGCCAAAGGTAGAAAAGGGGACACCAAGGGATTAAAGATAGTCCCTTTAGGAAGAAGTTACTATCCATAGTGTTGAAGAACAAATGAGAATGTTTGATGTTTTTCTAATTCAGAAGATGTGACACTTGACAGCAGGTAGCAGATACAGGGGGTTAGGCAGCGGATGTCTGATGGCATGCAGACATGGCAGCAAGTGGCAGATAACATGGAGAAATGGCAGTAGGTGGGCACTGATATGGACATAAGGCAGCAGGTGGCTGATCACATAGCCCATGCAGGGAAACACAGTAATAGGTGCCTTCTGATATGGGATCTGGCATTGGATGGCCCATGATTTGGAGACACCACATACAGTAAGCAAGCACATGGGTTCAGGAAGCTCATGATAGTGAGAGTGAAACAAGCAGTAAGGTGGCCTATGATTTGCAACCACAGAGGCAGGTGGCTGAGCATATGCAAACATGGCCAGAGGTGGCCCATGGCATGGACAAATGGCAGCAGTTCTAAGACATTGTTAGACACAGCAGCAGGAAAGTCATGATAGAGAGTGGCATCCAATATGGAGACGTGGCAGAGAAAATGCATACATGGATGCACGTGGGCCGTGGACAGTTGGTGGCTGGTTCATAGAGACGTGGCAGCAGGTAGCAGAAAACATGGAGAAATGCCGAGGCAGGCAATGATTTGGAGACACAGCAGCAGTTGGACATTTGCCTGGAGTCACAGCAGAAGTGGTAGATTCACAGAGATCTGTCAGCAATTCATAGATTCCATGGAGACATAGCAGTAGGGGACAGCTATGTGGATACTCAGCAGCAACAGGCCCATGATAGAGAGCCACACACAGATGGCATATACAGGAAGTCACAACAACAGGAGATGCATGACAGGTGTTTCAGGTGTCTTCTGACATGGCAACAGGCAGCAGGTACAATGGAGAAACAGCAGCAGGTGGCCAATGATTTGGAGACATAGTACCTATTGGCAGATATAGGGCAATCAGGAAGCAGGAGGCTCATGACCATATGAAAAAGTGTCAGGTGGCTATACTATGCAATCGTGGAAGACAGTGGCAAGCAACATGGAGACATAGCCAGAGGTGGGCCATGCTATACACACATGGCAGCAGGTGGCAGAATACCTTGAACATGAGGCAGCAGATGACGTGAAGACACAGCAGCAGTAGTTCATGACAAGGAGACAGAGCAGCAGTGGACAGATAGACAGGGCCAGGGCAGAAAAGGCCCACACGAGGCAAGCAAGGCATCGTGTGTCCCAGGATATAGAGAAACAGCAGTGGGTGGCAAACACAGGGAGTCATGGCAGTAGCACGCCATGATGGATTGAAAACAAGTCAGGTGGTTCATATGTAGCTGTGGCAGGAGGTGCCCCATATGATGAGTGCGTGGTATGAGGAGATAGGTTTTATGGAGACACAGCAGCACTGGCAGATATCAGGATACATGGCAGCAGGAGGCCCACGATCCAAAGACAGGTTGTCAGGAGGCCGATAATGCAGAGGCATGGAAGCAGCTGGCATGTGATCCAGTGTAATGAGAGCACATAGCTCATGATGTAGACACCCAGTAACAATTGCCTCATGTGTGAGACAGTGTCACTCCCCCTCTTCGTGGAGGAATGACACAGGACCCTGCATTGTTCTTTTGTCTGCTCGGCCCTCCCCGGGTTTGCTGCTGGTTCTTCCCGGGTTGGCTACCGTCCCTTCCACCTCCGTGGAAGGGCGGTTCCCCCTGCCACTTTCCCCACTTCCGCGGGGGAGCGGCACACTGCTGGACGGCTCTCTCGGGGGCTGCACAGGTGTTCCTTCAGATAGATGTTCCTGGTGCATGTTGTCTCTCTCCTCCTTTATAGTCCTCTTCCACCAATCCCAACTCTGCTACCCACACGCCGAGTACGCTGCTCTCCTCCAATCAGGAGCAGGTCCTACAGTTTATTGGTTGAACTGGAGGCAGCTGTGTAGAAGCTGTTTCCTCCTCTCCCAGCGCCATATTGTGGGAGAGCAGATGCACAGAATAAGTCTTAATTCGAGTAACTTAGTCTAGTCCGAGTTGCTCCCAGTTGCTCCCCACAAGACAGGGCAGCAGTGGGCTCACAATAGGGATACAAACCATAAGGTGGCCCAGGATATAGAGGGGCTGCAGGTGACACAGGATAAGGAGGCATGGCAGCAGTTGGCAGAGAATGTGAAGATATGGGTGCACGTGGGCTATTATGTGGAGACTTGACAGCAGGGGGCCGAGTCCATGGAGACATGAGAGCAGGTGGCAGTATGTATGGAGAAATGCCAGGAGGTGGTCAATGGTATGGGACATTGCAGGAGTTGGGCATTTGCATGGAGACACAGCAGCAGCATGCAGATATATGGAACCAGTAGACTTAGGAAAGGGAGGCAGTGCATCAGTGGTCCATGAAATGGACACAGGGTTAGACTTGGCAGAGGCATGACAGGTAAAACATTGCTTCAGGTTGCTCATGATATGGAGACACGGGAGTAGGTGGCAGGTGAAACAGCAGTAGGTGGCCCCATGTTTAGAGACACTGTAGTAGTTCTCAGAGATAGGCAGCTAGGGCAGCAAAAGTCTCATATTAGTGAGACTAGACATAAGGAGGCTTATGATACATAACCACTGAACAGGGTAGCAGAGGACATGGAATTGTGGCTGGAAGTGGGACATGATATAGAAAACTAGCTGCAGGTGCATCAGGGTTTGGAGACCCAGAAGCTGTGGCACACTACAGGAAGAAAAAGAAGCAGGAAGTCTGCAATATAGAGACATGACAGTAGATGGCTTGGGATGCGGAGCTCCAGAAGCAGCAGAACAATATGGCAAGACATGGCAGGAGGAGGCCTCTGACGGGGACTCTGGTGTCAGGTGGCTCTTGATGTGGCAATCAGAGCAGGTGTCACAGAATACACAGATAGGAATGGATGTTGGCCCATGACGGGGAGACATTGCAACAGGATACATTGATTACAAAGACACACAGGGGCAGGTGGCAGAATATATTGAGTAATGCATGGTGGCAGCTGGCAGTTCCATGGAGACACAGCAGCAGTGGAGAGATGGACAGAGACATGGCAGCAGTCAGTCCATTCCATAGAGACCTGGTACCCGTGGGTAGGTATGGTGATCCGTGACAACAGCATGTCCATGACAGAGAGGCAGGACATAACATGGCCCATGATATAGAGACACTGTAGCAGGTGTCAAACATACTAAGTCATTGCAGCAGGAGACCCATACAGGTCAACAGTGCTCCAGGTGGCTATAGAGACATGGCAGCAGAGAGCAGATTGACAGAGGCATAGCAGCAGTTATTTGATTACATGGAGACACGGCAGCAGTGGGCAGATGCGTGGATACACAGTGGCTGCTACCCATGAGGTGGTGGTAAGGCATCAGGTAGCCATTGAAGTGGACACGTGGTGGCATGTGGCAGACAAGGTGGAGAATCAGAAGTAGGTGCCCCATGTTCAGAGGCTCTGCAGAAGTTTGAAGATATAGGGAGGCAGGCAGCAGAAGGCTCATGTTAGTGAGACTGGGCCACAGGTTGCCTGTGATCTGCAACCACGAAGCAGGGACAGATGATACAGAGACGTAGCTAGAGGTGGGACATGACACAAGACACACACCAGCAGACAGCTCGGGATACAGAGACCCAGAAGCAGTGGCACAAGACAGGAAGACAAGGCAACAGGATGCCTATGATCTAGAGATCTCACAGCAGGTAGTCTGAGATATGGAGCCCCAGAAGCAGTGGGACATTATAGGGAGACATCGCAGGAGGTGGCCTCAGACCAGGAGAGAGATGACAGGTGGCTCATGATGTGCAGGTCTGGCCACAAGTAGCAGAGAATACAATCAGGAATGCATGTTTTCTCATGACAGCAAAACAGGGCGGCAGGTTGCCAATTACAAGGAGGCATGGCAGCAGGTGGCAGAATACATTGAAGAAGTGGCTGATGATATGGACACAGCAGCAGCTGGGCAGTCATCTGGACACACAGCATCAGTGGGCAGATTGACAGAGATGTGGCAGTAGTTAGTTGAATCCATGGAGACATGGCAGCAGTGGGCTTCAGGTGCTCATATGGAGACACGGGAGCAGGTGGCAGGCGAAATGGAGAGATGGCAGCAGGTGGTCCACAATTGGAAGATGCTGTTGGCAGATGAAGGGAAATCTGCAGCAGGAGTCACATGACAGTAAGATGAGGTGTAAGGTCACCTTTAATATGCAACCATGGAAGATGGTGGCCAATGGCACGGAGACATGGCAGAGGTGGGCCAGGAAACGCACACACAGCAGCAGGTGGCACAATGTCTTCAACATGGCAGCAGTTGGCTCCTGACATGGAGACACGGCAGCAGTGGATGGATAGTCAGTGCCTGTGCAGCAGAGACCCAAGAGAGGCAGGTAAAATGACATCTGTCCCATAATAGTAGAAAAGGCAGCAGGTGGCAGACACAGAATCATGATGGGGAGAAAACATGTCCCCTGGCTCTTTTGTAGATATGGCAGCAGGTGGCAGATGTTACGGTGAAATGACAGGAGGTGCCCCATATTATGGTGCATGGTATTGGGTGACTGATTGGAGGCAGCAGGAGACACACGATCCAGATGCAGTGAGTCCAGTGGCCCGTAACACGGAGGCATGGAAGCAGTTGGCACGTGATCTAGAGTAATGGGAGCACATAGCCCATGACACAGAAACATGGCAGCAGTAGTCAGATATTGTGACAGGGCGCAAGAGGCTCCTGATAGGGAGACAAAGCATAACGTGACCCATAATCTAAAGATATGGCAGGAGGTAGCACAGGGTACTGAGACACGGAAGCAGTTGGCAGAGAATAGACAGGCATGTGGACCATGATATGGAGACATCACGGTGGGTGATCTATTCCATGGAGACATGACAGCAGGTGCAGAATATTTGAGAAGTAACCATGAGGCAGCTGATGATATGGAGACAGAGCAGCGGTTGGGCAATTGCTTGGAGACACAGCAACAACGGGCAGAGACGTAGCTGTGGTTAGTTCATTCCACAGAGACATGGCAGCAGTGGGCAGATATGTGGATACATGGCAGCAGCGGTCCCAGAAAATGGGGAAGCAGGGTGTTCTGTGACCTAGGATTCCAGCATCCATGCAGGTGTCACTCCCGGGGAGGACGCTGTATTGTTTGTGGTCTCCTGGGGGGCCAGGGTCTGTGGGTGTTGTTTCCCTGGAGCCACGCTGTGTATGTATGTTGCTTACTAGGAGGTCAGGGTCTCTGTGTGCTTTATGGGGGATGCCAGAACTTGTCTCGGCTGTTTCCTCAGATGCCAGGGGTTGTTGTCTGTTGTTTCCTGAGAGGCTACTGGCTGTGTGTTCTTTCCCAGGAAGCCAGTGTCTGCCTGTGTTTTGTTTCCTGGAAGGTTCGTTCTACATCTGTTTTGATTTCTGGGCAGCCTGAATCTGTGTATGTTGCCATATCCTGTTGAGGTGGATTCGTTTCTGAGAGGAGGAGCGTGCTGGGGGGAAAGAGGCGCGGAGTCACCACACAGACCCCGGAAACCAGGTGAAAGCAGGCCTGAGGCAAGCAGCCCGCAGACTCATTTATTTCAGGTGCTACAGCTGCTTATATAGCCAAGGCAGCCAATCCGGTCAAGGGGCGGTCTATGCCCTAACCAATCACAGCCTGTTGCCAGGCAGTTTCTGAAACCATCCAATCACAGCCTGTTGTCAGTCAGGCTCTGTTGTCATGTGGTTTCCGAAGCCATCCAGTCATGGCCTGTTGCCAGGCAGTTTCTGTTGCCAGTAGCCATCTTGGCATGGCCTTCTCATTCCACCACATTTCCCCCTTTTTGTTTATTTTTGAGCAACGGGAGGCATGATTCTTGGTCACACCATTGTTGACCCCGTTTCCATGTGGTCTCCATACGCAGCTGTGCCTGTCTTAGGTTGTCCCCCAGGGGATCTTACTCGTCATTGACTAACCAGTGCTCAAAACAGGAGACCACAGGAGTGCTTGCTCAGATGGGGGTAGGAATGAAGAATAGTGGTAATCAGGAATGGAGTGACCACACGCAGGCTGTGGGCCATTTGAGTGGCTGACCAGAGCTAGTGGGGTATAAAGTAGTAATGGATGTGGCTATGGGCAGTTTCTCAGGGTAGGATGATGGGGCAGGTGCGTCCGCTAACAAGGCAGACTCTCAGTCTTGTTCAGCTGGTTCTGGTTGGCTGTCATTTGCAGGCTTGATGTTTCTGGCTGGTACCCAAATGGGCTGTTCTGCATTTTCTGGAAAGACACAAGCATATCCTCGACCCTTGGTTAGCAGAGTGGTGGTCCCTTCCATTCTCCTGTCAGGGGGTCTTTCCACTTAACCATAGGGGCTGGGGTCTGGGATGGAAAGGATCCCCAGTGTTTATAAGCTGGGCTGATCCCTTGGGAATCAAAACTAAGAAAATTGATAGTGAAAAGGACCTCAGTCAAAGCAAGCTGTGGGTCTGGGGGCTTATGATTGTTTTTCTATCTTTGAAATAAACGAAAAGGGGGAAATGTGGTGGAATGAGAAGGTCATGCCAAGATGGCTACTGGCAACAGAAACTGCCTGGCAACAGGCCATGACTGGATGGCTTCGGAAACCACATGACAGTAGAGCCTGACTGACAACAGGCCGTGATTGGATGGTTTCGGAAACTGCCTGGCAACAGGCTGTGATTGGTTAGGGCATAGACCGCCCCTTGACCGGATTGGCTGCCTTGGCTATATAAGCAGCTGTAGCACCTGAAATAAATGAGTCTGCGGGCTGCTTGCCTCAGGCCTGCTTTCACCTGGTTTCCGGGGTCTGTGTGGTGACTCCGCGCCTCTTTCCCCCCACCACACTCCTCCTCTCGGAAACGAATCCATGGCAACAATATCCCAGGACACTATTGATTGTGTTGTTCCCTGGAAAACCAGGTTCATCTTGTGTTTTGTTTCCTGGATACTCAGACTATCCACGTGTCATTTCCTGGGAAGGCTGAGTTGTGTGTGTTATTTAGGAGAGGCCTGGGTCTGTGTTGTTTCCTCAGATGCTATGGTCTGCACCTGTGATTTTCATGAGTGGTCAGGATCTGCATGTTTATATTGGTTCCTGCCCAGAATTCGTGTGTTGTTTTCTTGAAAGACAGGGACTGTATGTGTGTTGTTTTCTGGGAGATCAGAGTCTACATGTGTTTTGAACCCTGAGAGACTTGAATCTGTTTATGTTGTTTCCAGGAATTCCAGGATCTGTGGTTGTGTTTTTTCTTAGAGGCCAGAGTCTATGAATGTGTTGTTTCTGGGAGGCCAGGGTCTGTGTGTATTATGTTTCCTGGGAGGTCCAAATCTATGTATTGTGTTTCCTGGGAGATGAAGCTGTGCATCTTGTTTCCTGGAAAGCCAGGATCTATGCAGGTGTTACTTCCTGTCAGGTCAGGGTCTGTATGTGTGTTGTTTACTGGGATGACAGTGGTGTCTTGTGTGTGTTGTTCCTTTGAGGCCAGTGTGTGCATGTTTCTTGCTTTCTGGGGAGCCATGATCTCTGTGTGTGCTGTTTCTTGGGAGGCCAGGTCTGCATTTATAGTTTCCTGGGCAGTCAAGACCTCAGTGTTTTCTCTGGATTCCAGGTCGCGTGTGTGTTTGTGTGTGTTGTTTCCTTGGAAGGCAGGGTGTGCGTGTGTTTTGTTTGTTGGGAGATCAGGGTCTGAGTGTGTGTCTTCTGGGATGCTAGGGTCTATGCATGTTTTTTTCCTGGGAGGTCAAGGCTTAAATGTGTTTTGATTTCTAGGAGGCCTGGATCCGTGTTTGCTGCTTCCTGAGAAGCAATGGTCTGTGGCTGATGTTTCCCTGGAGGCCAAGGTCATCCTGAGAAGCCTGGGTTTGTGTTATCTTGTTCTGGGGAGGTCAGGATCTTCAATGCTGTTTCATGGGATGTCAGTGTCTGCTCATGTGTTGTTTTCTGAGAGGTCAGTGTCTATGTGTTACTTTTTATTCCTTGGAGGTCTGGATCTGTGTAGGTTGTTTCCTTGGATGCAAGGGTCTGTGTGTTGTTTCCAGGAGGGTCAGGGTTTTCATGTGTCTTATCTCCTGTGTGTGTTGTTTCCCGAGTTACTGCACAGGTATTATTTCCTAGGAGGTGGTGGTGTCATGTGTGTAGTTTACTGGGAGGTCACAATCTGTATGTTGTTTTTTTTCTGGGAGGTCGTGGCCCACGGGTATCGCTTCATGGGAGAGCAGGGTGTACCGGTTTTTAGTTTCCTTGGTGACTCAGGTCTGCATGTGTGCTGTTACCTGGGAGGTAAAGGTGTCACGTGTTTTGCTCCCTTTCAGGCCTGATTTCTGTGCTGTTTCCTGTGGTGCCGGCTACTGTGCTGATGTTGTTAACTTTGAGGCCAGAGTATGTCTGTTTCTTGTTTCCTGGGAGGTCAGGGTCATTGTGTGTGTTGTTTCCTGTGATGCCCTTGTCCGCATGTGTGTTGTTTCCAGGGGGAACAGGGTCTGTGTGTGTGTGTGGTTTCCTGGGAGTCAGGGCCTACGTTTGCTTTGATCCTGGGAAGTGTGAGTCTGTTTATATTGTCTCTGTAATCCCAGGGTCTGTGGTTGTGTTTTTCCCTCGACAGCCAGGGTCTGCCTGCATTTTGTTTCCTGGTAGGTCAGGGGCCTGCCTGTGCTGATTCATAGGATCCCCATGTCCGTGCCTGTGTTGTTCACTGGAGCCCAGCATTTGCTTGTGTTCTGTTCCTGCAAAGCATGGCCCTTCCAAAAAAACAACACATGCACAATCATGGTTTCCCAGCTAAAAATACACACAGATATGGATCTCCCAGGAAACAGCACCTGCACAGTCCCTGGACCCCCAGGAAACACACGTACAGACCCTGGCATCTTTGAAAAAAAAAAAAACACATACAGACCTGGAACTCCCAGGCACACGTGTAGACCCAGGCATCAAGGAAACAAGACACAATGACACTGACCTACCCAGAACAAAACACACACAGAGCCTGTCCTCCCAGGAAACAACACATATACACCCTGAATTCCCAGGAGCAAACCACATGCAGATGCTTGTATCTACTAAACAACATGTGTGCAGACCCTGTGGGTCTGTGTCTATTTCCTGGCATGCCGGGGTTTGTACCTGCGTTGTTTTTGGGAGGTCAGGCTCTGCACGTGTTTGTTTCCTGAAAGACAAGAATCCATGTGTGTGTTATTTCCTGGGATACCAGGGTCTGTGCTGGTGTTGCTTTGAGGGGCCAGGATCTGCATGTGTGTTGCTTCCTGGGAGACCAGTGTAGAATGGTTCTTATTTACTGGGAGGCCATGATCTGTGTGTGTCTTCTTGGTTTCTTTGTCGGGGGAGAAGGGCTATGTTTGTGTTTGGTTTCCTGGCAGGTCAGGGTCTCTGTTTTTTCAGGAGGAAGAAAGGCCAGCATATGTGTTTTTGTTTCCTGGGATGCCAGGTTTTGTGGGTGTGTGTGTGTGTGTGTGTGTGTGTTGTCTCTTTGAAGGCAGGGTCTGCCTGTGTTGTGTTTCCTGAGAGTTCAGGGCTTGCATGTGTTCATTGTTGAGATGCCTCATTGACCAGGGAGCCAGTGTCTGCATAGGCTTTGTCTCCTGGGAGTTCCAGGTCTGTGTGTGTTTCTGGGAAGCAAGGATCTGTGAGTGTGTTGTATCTTTGGAGACCGGGCTCTGTTTGTGTTTTCTGGGATGCCAGTGTCTGCGTCTGTTCTTTTCTGTGAGGTCAGGGTCTCCGTTTGGGTGTGTGTGTGTGTTCTGCATCTATGTGTGTTGTTTCCTGGAAGTCCAGTGTGTGGGTGTGTTCTTTCCTGGGAAGCCTGTGTATGAGTGTGCTTAGTTTCCTGGAAGGTCAAGGTCTACATGTGTGTTGTTTCCTGGGACGCTGGCATCTACACACGTGTGCTTCCTGGGAAGCCTGTTTGTGTGTGTTTTGTTCCGGGTAGACTAGAGTATTCGTGTGTGGTTTCCTTGGAGGCCAGGGTATGTCTGTATTTTGTTTCCTGGGATCCCAGGGTCTGTACATCTGTTGTTTGCTGGGCCAGTGTCTGCATTTGTTTTGTTTCCTGAGAGGCCTTGTTCTGTGAGTGTTGTTTCCCGGCATGCCGGGGTGTGCGCATGTGTTGATTTTGGGGAGGCCAGGGTTTGTGTGTGTTTTATTTCCTGGAATGCCAGTGTTGTGCAGCTGTTTCCCCCAGAGGCCAGGGTCTGCATGTGTGTTGTTTCCCAGGAGGCCAGAGTGTGTGTGTTTTCTTGGAGGCCTGGGCCTGCGTGAGTGTCCTTTCCTGGAAAGCCAGGGTCTGCCTTTGGTTTTTCCTGGGACATCGAAAGCGAGGTGTGGTTTGATTCTGGGAGGTCCAAATCTGTGTTTCTTGATTCCTAGAGTGCAGTGGTCTGTGATTGTCTTGTTCCCCTGGAGGCCAGGGTTTTTTTGTTTTACTTCCCAGGATGCCAGGTCTGCGTGTGTTTCATGGGAAGCCTGTGTTTGCATGTGTTTTGTTCCAGGGAGGTCAGTGTGTTTGTACTCTGTTTCCTGGGATGCCAGGGTCTGAAAAGGTGTTGTTTCCTGAGAGGCCAGTGTGCACATGCTTATGTTTTTATTTCTGGGAGGTTGGGACCTGTGTAGGCTGTTTCCTTGGAGGCCAGGGCCTGCATGGGTTCTCTCTTGGGATGCTGGGGTATGGGCAGCTATTGCTTGCCAGGCGGCAATGTCTGCATGTGTGTTGTTTCCTGGTGTGCCAGGGTCTGGTGTGTGTGGTTTCTTGGGAGGTCAGGGTGTCCATGTGTTCTATTTCCTGGGAGGCCAGAATCCGTGTGTGTTGATTCCTAGGAAGGTAGGGTCTTCATGTGTTGTTTCCTGGGAGGCCAGTGGTGTGTGTGTGTGCTCTTACCTGGGCGGTAAGCAGATGCCTGTGTTTCATTTCTCTCAGGCCAGATTCTGTTTGTGCTGTTTCCTGTGACACCCGGTTCTGTGCTTGGGTCTGCATGTTTCTTGTTTCCTGGGAGTTCGGGGTTTTTGTGTTGCTTCCTGAAGTGTCAGTGTCTGTGCATGCATTGGTTCCCGGGGATGTGTTTTGTTTCCAGAGAACCCAGGCTTGTCTAGGTCCTAGACAGCATCTACAGGTGTTTTGAACCTGAGAGGCCTAAATCTGTTTATATTGTTTCCTGCAACACCAGGAACTATAACTCTGTTTGTTTGTTTGTTTTTTCCTTGAGGCCAGAGTCTGCCTGTGTTTTATTCCTGCGAGGTGAGGGTCTCTGTATATTGTTTTCTGGGATCGGCTCAGGTTTTGCTTCCTAGGAGCCTGATTGGTATGTGCACTGTTTCCTTGGATGCCAAGGTCTCCGTGTTTATTTGCCTGAGAGCTCTCAGTCTGCATGTGTGGATTCCTGGGAGATCAGGTTGTGCACGTGTTCAGTTTCCTGGGTAGCCACAGTCTGCCCATGTGCTGTTTCCTGCAAGGCCAGGTTCTGTGCTTGTGTTACTTGAGATCAGAATGTGAGTCTTTCCTGTTTTCTAGGATGCCACAGTCTGACTCGTGTTGTTTCCTGAGAAGACCGGGTCTGCGTTTGTTTTTATCTGCAGAGGTCAGGGTCCGGGTGAGTTGTTTCCTGGTATATCAGGGTGTGTGTGTGATTAGTTTCCTGGATGGCCATATTTTCTGCACCTGTTGTTTTTTGGGAGGTCAGAGCTGCCTGTGTATGGTTACATGGGATTACATGGGATGTCGGTGTGAGCATGTTTTTTGTTTCCTGAAGGCCAGGTTCTGTTTGTATTCTTTCTGTGCTTGTGTTTTTTACTTCGAAGCCAGGGTATGCATGTTTCTTCTTTCTTGGGAGGTCAAGGTCTTTGTTTTGTTTCCTGTGATGCCAGATTCTGCACATGTGTTGTTCCTGGAGGTGAACGGTATCTAAGAGTATTTTGTTTCCTGGGAGGCCAGATTCTTGCGTGTGTTGTATTCATGTGTGTTGTTTCCAGTGAGGTCAGGATCTGCCTGTGGTTTTTTCCTGGGTAGTACAGTCTATATGCATTACATCCTTGGATGCAAGTGCCTGTATATGTTTCGTTTCCTGGGTGGTAAATGTCGACGTGTGTTTTGATTCCTGCTTCCTGGGATGCCAGGGTCTGTGATTGTGTTTTTTCTGGAGGCCAGTGTCTGTGCATGTCTGTTTCCTGGGATGTCAGGAACTATGGGAGTTTTGATTCCAGGGAGCCTTGTTCCTGCTACAGATGCTGTCTCCTGTGGGGCCAGGGTCTGCCCATATGTTGTTTCCATGGAACCATCATCCACATGTGTTTACTTTTATTCATATGTCAGTCTGTGGTTTTTTTCTGGGGTATGGAGTCTGAGCAGGTGCTGTTTCCTGGGAGGCCAGAATCTCTGTGTGTGCTTTCCTTTGAAGCCAAGGTCCGCATGGGTTTTGTTTCTGGAAAAGTCAGGGTCTGCATGTTTTGCTCCCTAGGAAGCCAGAGTCCGTGTGAGTCATTTGGGCAGTCAGGGTCTATGTGTGTTTTGACTTCTGGGAAACCTGAGTCTGTGTGTGTAGTTTCCTGGGTTACTAGAGTCTGCAATTGTGTTTCTTTTGAGCCAGCTTCTGCCTGTGTTTTGTATCCTGGGAGGTCAGGGGCTATGTGTGTGGATGCTAGTGTGTGTGTGTGTGTGTGTGTGTGTGTGTAATGTTTCCTGGGAGGTCTGGGTCTGTGTGTATTGTTCCCAGGGATGACAGGGTCTGAGATTATGTTGTTTCCTTTGAGGCCAGGGTCTGCCTGTGTTTTGTATCCTGGGAGGTCAGGGGCTATGTGTGTGGATGCTAGTGTGTGTGTGTGTGTGTGTGTAATGTTTTCTGGGAGGTCTAGGTCTGTGTGTATTATTCCCAGGGATGACAGGGTCTGAGCTTGTGGATTTCTCTTCTTAAGTTAGCATCCACGTGTGCATTGTATACCAACAGGAAATAAATAATATGTTGATTGTAACATGAGAACCCAAGATTGCAAGTATGTTGTTTCTGAGAAGACATTGTCTGGATGGGTTTTATTTCTGGGAAGATCAGGGTCTCCAGATGTTGTTTCCTGGGATGCCAGGGTCTGCGTGGGTGTAGTTTCCTAGGAAGCCAAGGTCCATGTGGGTGTTCTTTCCAGGGATGCCAGGGTCTGTGTGGGTGTTGTTTCCTGGGATGCCAGGGTCCGCATAGGTGCTTTTTGATGGATGCCAGGGTCTGTGTGGGTGTTGTTTCCTGGGATGCCAGGATCCGTGTGGGTGTTGTTACCTGGGATGCCAGGATCCGTGTGGGTGTTGTTACCTGGGATGCCAGGATCCGTATGGGTGTTGTTCACTGGTATGCCAGGGTCTGTATGGGTGTTGTTTCCTGGGATGCCAGGATCTGTGTGGGTGTTGTTACCTGGGATGCCAGGATCCGTGTGGGTGTTGTTCGCTGGTATGCCAGGGTCTGCGTGGGTGTTGTTTCCAGGGATGCCAGGGTCTGCATGGATGTTGTATCCTAGGATGCCAGGGTCCATGTGGGTGTTGTTTCCAGGAATGCCAGGGTCCATGTGGGTGTTGTTTCCTGGGATACTAGGGTCCCTGTGTATGTTCTTTCCTGGGATGACAGTGTCTGCATGGGTGTTGTTTCCTGGGATGCCAGGGTCTGTGTGGGTGTTGTTTCCAGGGATGCCAGGGTCTGCATGGGTGTTGCTTCCTGGGATGCCAGGATCCGTGTGATTGTTGTTTCCTGGGATGCCAAGGTCTGCGTGTGTGTTGCTTCCAGAAATGCCAGTGTCTGCATGGGTGTTTTTTCCTGGGATGCCAGGGTTCGTGTGTGTGTTGTTTCCTGGGGTGTCAGGGTCTGCATGGGTGTTGTTTCCTGGGATGACAGGTTCTATGTTGGTGTTGTTTCCAGGGTCTGACAGGGTATGCATGTGTGTTGTTTCCTGGGATGCCAGGGTCTGCGTGGGTGTTTTTTCCTTGGATGCCAGGGTTCATGTGGGTGGTGTTTCCTGGGATGTCAGGGTCTGCGTGGGTGTTGTTTCCTGGGATACCAGGTTCCACGTTGGTGTTGTTTCCAGGTCTGCTAAGGTCTCATGGGTGTTGTTTCCTGGGATGCCAGGGTCTGTATGGGTATTGTTTCCTGGGTTGTCTTGGTTCATGTATGTATTCTTTCCTGGGATGTCAAGCTCTGCGTGGGTGTTGTTTCCTGGGTTGCCAGAGTCTGCGTGGGTTTGTTTCTTGGGATGACAGGGTCTGTGTGGGTGTTGTTTCCTAGGATTTCAGGGTCTGCTTGGTGTTGTTTCTAGGGATGCCTGGGTCTGCCTGGGTGTTGTTTCCTGGGATGCCAGGGTCGGTCCCCATGGGTGTTTCCAGCGATGCCAGGGTTGCATGGGTGTTTCCTGGGATGTCAGGGTCCTCATGGGTGTTGTTTCCTGGGATGCCAGAAGGAGGAGATACAAATGTTATTTTTCTCAAATACTGAAATGCTAGCTGCTTGCCCTCAATCATTATTCTGTTATGCTAACAAGTAGAAAGCATGGCCAAAGGTAAACTGGAAGGTAGTTAGGGTTCTTGTTCCATCACAGCATTGGTTTGCACATATCCCCTAAAGCTCACATGTTAGAAACTTAGTCCCCAGTGTAACGGTACTCACAGACAGGACCTTTAGGAGGTGATTCTGTTGCTCCCTCTTGCTCATTCACGCCTTTCACCACATTGTGACACAGCACAGGAGGCCCTCACCAGAGATGGTCCTTGATCTGGGACTTCCCAGCCTTCAACACTATAAGCCAGTGAATTTCTGTGTTTTATACATTTCCCATCTCTGGTATTTTGCTCTGGTAACACAAAATGGCCTAGGATGACTTTTAGTTATCCACACAAATCTAAGGCACATTTAGTCTTGCTATTTCCTACTTCAAAAACTGGAGGAATTTGCATTACTCATAAGATTTGTTAGATTATATGTGAAAGATTTTAAAAAGTAGTAAGCAGGGCCTCAAATTATAATCTGTTTTATATAGAAAAAGAGTGGTTTTCCTTCAAGAATGACTCTGATTTCAGAGACGTGTGCATGAGTAGCAAATGCTGTCTCCTTAAATATTCCTGAAACATTATCTGTCAAAGGAAGGACATAAAAAACACCAATAATTGTTCAGGTGTCCTTGCCATCTCTCCTACACTGACTATAACTATGATAAACAGCTAGCAGTACAGCTGACCAGTGGCAAATTGTAGCAGTGACCAAATCTGTATTCAATGCCAAGGTAAACACAGAAGCATCAAAAAGTTACAAGATTTTGTAAGCCCTGAAGTACAAATATACACACCTGAAGCCATTTTGATAAATGGTGATAAATATGATAAAAAATGGCCTGATTCCTGAGGCTAGCACTGTGGTATAGTGGGTTAAGCCATGACCTGCCACACAAGCAACCCATATGGGTACCAGTTCATGTCCTAGATGCTCCACTTCAGATTCAGCTCCCTGCTAATGCACCTGGCAAAATAGTAAAAGATGGCCCAAGTGCTTGGGAACCTGCCACCCACATGGGAAATGAGGAAGAAGATGCCTCCTGGCATTGGCCTGGCCCATCCCTGGCTGTTGTGACCCTTTGGGGAGTAAACTAGTGGATGGAAGATCGATTGATCTATCTATCCATCTGTGTAACTCTGCCTTTCAACAAGTATATAACTTAAACAAAAAAGCCTGAATCTTAAAATCAAATAAGCGTTTTCCCCCAAGTTCTCTTTGAGCCTTTAGCACAGTGTCCTTTTAGAGCAGGGCTGGGGAACATCCCACCTACAGGCCACGGAAGGCCCTCGATTTTATTTAGTCTGGGTCTGCCTAGATGGTAGGCAGGACTTAGATTCAATAAATCTACAGCAGGCTGATTTTTTCAGTTGATCATTTGGGGTGTGGCCTGTGAATGGTGTTATAAATATCCAAATGGCCATTGGCAGAAAGAAGTTTCCCCATCCCTGTTCTAGAAAGTCTACAGACTCAAAGGGGACTGGGGGAACAATCCACCCATTTCTGGCTTAAACTATGTCACTTGTTTATTTGGGGTTGTGGGGTCTTCATAAAGTTCATGGAAATGGCATATTATGCAAAAATGATTTAAGGATATCAGAACATTCTTACATCAAAATAATCTAATTTCCACAAACATTTTTAAGGAGCTAACACATTGTTCTTTTTAAAATTTGGACATATTTTGAAAGGTAGAAGATACAGATAAAATAAATCTTTCATGTGCTGGTTAATTCTCCAAATGCCTCCAACAGCCAGGCACAGATTAGGCTGAAGCCTGAAACCAGAAATTCTATCTCATGAGTGGCAAGGACCCAAGTACTTGCATCAGTCACAGCCATCACCTGTTGAATCCCAGTGTGCGCATTAGCAGGAAACAGGAATTGGAAGCACAGCAGAACTCAAACCCAGGCACTCTGATAGGGATTGTGGGCATCTCAACCAGATTCTCAAATGTTGCCCCCAATACCCACCACACATACACACTTTTTTAAATGCCCTGATATTTCCATACCTTCAGAGATACAGGTTAGTCATTTGTAAATGAGAAAATAAATTGTCCTGGCTATTGCATGATGCTTCAAAAGGACCAAACCTGAAAATGACGAGAATCTGTACAGTAAGATAGACGTTTCTACCAGATTTCACTCTGCTCCTTGGGTTTATAGCTAAGTCTGAAAAAAAAAATAGCAATGCTAAGAAGAAAGGAATTGAAAGAATTCTTTAACTTTTTTATTCCTATAAGGTGAACAAATTTCATGTATTCCATATATTGAGATTTAAGAGCATAATGATATTTCCCATGCTACTCTCCCACCCTCCCACACTCCCACACTCCCAACCTCCCTCCTTCTTCCTTATTTTTTCTTTATATTTTTACAATGACATAATTTCAATTTATTTTATAATCACAATAACTCTCCACTAGATAAAATTCAACAAGTAGTAAGTAGAAAAACCACTGTTCCTCAACAGTATAAACAAGGGCTGTAAACAATAATCAAATCTCAAAATGTCAATTTTGCTCATATGCATTACAATTTTTTGTACCCTGTATATTAGTTACCACAAATCAGGGAAAACATGATATTTGTATTTTTGGGACTGGCTTATTTCACTATGCATAATGGTTTCCAGTTGTATCTATTTTATTGTGAAAGACGGGACTTCATTCTTTTTTACAGCTGAGTAGTATTCCATAGTGTATATATACCACATTTTCTTTTTCCAGTCATCGGTTAATGTACATCTGTGTTGATTCAGCATCTTAGCTATTGTGAATTGAGCTGCAGTAAATATGGGGGTACAGATAACTCTTTCATATGCTGTTTCATTTTGTTTGGGTAAATTCCCAAGAATGGGATGGCAGGATCATATGCTAGATCAATTTTTAGATTTCTGAGGAATCGCCATACTTTGACAATGGCTCTACTAGCTTACCACCAACAGTGTATGAGGGTATGTTTTTTCCCTACATCTTCACCAGAATCTGTTGTTTTTTGAGTGCTGAGTGAGAGCCATTCTAATGGATGAGATAAAACCTCATTGTGCTTTTGATTTGCACTTCCCTGCTGGCTAGTGATGCTGAGCATTTTTTTCATGTGTCTGTTGGCCATTTGAATTTCATCTTTTGAAAATTGCCTGTTCATGTCCTTTGCCCAATTCTTTATCTAAGGCCACAACCATTATAAAAAGAACAGAATCCCCTTAGAGGATTTTATCAAAAATGAGGCAAAAAAAAATCATAACTAGCTAACTGGTACTCTCTAGGCAACACACATCTGGCCACTAGAAACCTATGGATATGTAACCAAAAATTAGGAAGTGTCACTTTGAAAAATGAAAAAGTAATTAAGCAAATATAGCTGAATTTATTCATTCAAATAAAATATTGCCTTCCTCAAAATAACCATACTTATCTTCAAAATAGACACATTTATTCCAACTACTACCCTCTCTTCTACTCCTCCTTCAGTTCAAAATGCTTTTAAATTTGCTTCACATTTTGTCTGTAACTCAAAACAATGCTACTCAGAAATATCACCTTAATTTTTTGGCTCTTGCCAAGATTCAAATCCATCTTTAAAGACATGTTTTTGCTAGGCTGGCTAGTGTCCGTGGCATTATCCAAAAGAAAGTGCTACCAGGGCCTCAATCAGAGGCAATCACAAAAGAAAATTTTTAAACAGTTCTATCAAAGGCAGCTTCTATTCCATCCTTGTTTAACCTCCCACACTAAATGTCTGCAAGAGCCTCTCTGAGCACGTTCCAGCTTGGTTCTATTGTTAATCAGTCTTCTGATGTGGCCTTCTGCTTAGGTATGTATATCTCCATCTGTGTCTGTGTGTGTGAGAAACAGTGAGAGACACAGAGACAGAGGGAAACAAACACACAGAGAGAAAGAATCAGGTCATGCCTTCTTTGGTATGTTTAGACTGCTGCTGCATTATCTGGGGTGCTGATAAAAAATCTGAATACCTTTGACCAATGCTTCATTAGAGAAAAAGGACAAATGAGATACCCCCAGAAACAGGGAGTATTTGGGGGAAAGAAAATACCTTGTGTGGTAATTTTTATTTCATTGCCCTGCTTCTGTTCTCATCATACTACTGATTGATTACATCATGTTTTCTTGTTTATTATTTTCTTTTTCTCCCCACCAAATAAGTTCCATGTGAAATAGGACCTTGCGGGTCCTGCTCAACTCCATAGCCCAGTGCCTGGAATATAATCTGTATTTGATCAATATCTTTGGAAGGGTAGGAGAGAGGGAAAAAGGAAGAAGAAAGTGGAGGAGGGAAGGGTGAGATGAAAGGAAGAATGCCCAGGTCTGGGCTGAGACTTCAATCTCCTCTCTGAAGGAAGTAAGCCAGTGGGTCTGACCAAATCAAAAGCAGTGAAGCAACAGTGGTAACACAGATCCTCTTTCCTGCCCAATGTCCTGAACTGTTTTCATTCACAATGTTTCTGACGCTGATACATGTTTTCCCACATCAATGAATTCTCCAACTCTCTAGACACCCACTGGATGTCCTACAGCTCATTTGAAATCTGACACAAACTTTACCCAGAGTTGGCACAGATCCCATAGGGTAAACTTTGTTCCAAAAGACTTCCCCAGTTGAGAAGCATAGAGTGCCACTTACACTCTTACGGAGGGACTACAAATCAGTGGTTCCCAAAGTCCCCTTTCCTTGTTCCATACTTTACTGGAATGGCTCTGAGAATTCAGGAAAGTGCTTTACTCACTAGCATTCAGTTCGGGAACAGCCAAGTGGAAGCCCATCACTGGACAGGACGAGGGGACCAGCAAAGAGCTTCCATGTAGTCTCCAGGAGCTCCACCCTCCCAGCATCTCACATGTTCACCTCCCAGGAGCTCTCTCAACCTTGCCACCCAGGGCTTTTGCTGAAGGTTTCAGTGTGTGAAAATGATTGGTTAGCTCACTGGCCACCAGTAATTGAACTCAACCTCCAGTTCCTCTCCACTTCTCAAGATCACACTTTGGTCTTTCTGGCAAACAGCCCACATTCTGAAGCTATCTAGCAGCTCCCAGCCTCCAGTCATCTCAACAGCAAACAAAGGACATTCTTGGCACTCAATGAGATTCTAAGAATTTTAGGAACTGTTGCCAGGACCAAGAGATAAACATCAAATACCTATTTCTCATTGTATAACACCCCTCCTCCACACATACCCAATAATCCCTGTGAGATACCTTCACCGAGCCTCCATTCTTTGATAAGTGTTCTTAATTGTAAAGTACTATACAAATGTAGCTTTAATCCAAAGATTCCAGCTATTTATGCCCCTCCTGCATAGAAATTATGGAGCTACCTAAGAAACCCAAAGTTCTGAGTGTTTTCTTTTTGGCAAGTATTACTAAGGTATCAGATACATGTGCAGTCAGTCAGTCTCTCTCTCTCCTTCCTTCGTTCCTTCTTTCCTTCCTTCCCCAAATCAAGGATCACAGCCCATACTCCTCTGGTCAAGGTCAGAATTTATTCACAAGGACAATTTTACTTGGCCCTCTTATTCTCTAGTCTGAAATGCAGACTTAAGACATTGTGTCCAGCTAAGCTTCTATTTATACTTGTTTTAGAAGCTGTGGGCCATGAAAGACAGCTGCTTTGTTAAATGTAAACATTTAAAACAAATATAATACCATTGGGGCATTTTATCATGTTCAAAAGTATTGGAAGACATAAGAAATAGAACTGGCTTGGGCATTCTCAACCTCTAAACTGTCCTTAGCATGATGGATAACTCTAGCTTCTAGTTATTTGACCTTGAATACCTTTCAAGACCTTAGAAGTAACCCAGTTTAATCATTTAATCATTTTTTTTTTTTTTGGACAGGCAGAGTTAGACAGAGAGAGAGACAGAGAGAAAGAACTTCCTTCCATTGGTTCACTCCCCAAATGGCCGCTACAGCCGGCGCGCTGCGCCAATCTGAAGCCAGGAGCCAGGTGCTTCTCCTGGTCTCCCGTGTGGTTGCAGGGCCCAAGCACTTGGGCCATCCTCCACTGCCCTCCTGGGCCACAGCAGACAGCTGGACTGGAAGAGGAGCCACCAGGACAGAATCCGACGCCCTGACCAGGACTAGAACCTAGGATGCTGGCACCACAGGCAGAGGATTATCCAAGTGAGCCATGGCGCCCGCCAGTTTAATCATTTCTAAAATGGGATCATTACTACCCTGTCTATTGTATGGTGTTGGAGAATGAACCAGCAAATTGAAGTTTCTCTCTCTCTCTCTCTCTCTCTCTCTCTCTCTCTCTCCCTTCAAGTCAAAAGAATTAACATTAACAAACTTCAGAAGACTGAGCAGAAGATGGAGATGAAAAGAAAGTAGCTATAAGCTTATTGAGACATCACATTTCACAGCTAAGCAAATTAAACAAAAATGGTCCTTAAGCTTCCTGCCGCTGTAGGTTGTGGGTTAACCAATCTGAAAAGGCTTAAAGGCTTTACAATTTGAGAACTTTACAATTTCAGGCTTTACAATTTCAGAGCCGGTATGTGTATTACACACACTCCAAAGAATATCTGACAAACTGGAACTTTGTCAATGGATGTTTCGCAAAAAATTAGGCAACAAAGAATAAAGTCTGGTTTAAGCTTGAGAGATAATGACTAGAATATAAGAAGAGATTTAAATGTTCACAAAAACAAATTCTAAATCTTCCCACCCTATCTAAACCTCTCAAGAAAATAATTTCACCAATTTCTCACAAACAGACTCAGTTTTCCTGAGTCACTTAAGCATATTTATTTATTTTCATTTTATTTGAAAGTCTAAGAGACAGAGATCTTCCATCTGCTAGTTTATTCCTTCAATGCTGACAACAACTAGGGCTGGGCCAGGCCAAAACCAGAAGCCAGGAATACAATCCAGGTCTCCTACATGAGTGGCGGGGAACCAATTATTTGTATCATCACTGCCTCCTAGTGTGTGTATTAGCAGGAAGCTGGAAGCAGAAACACCAAGTCAGGACTCAAATCCAGGCGCTGGTATGGGATGTGAGTGTCACAAGTGACATCCAGACGGCTGCACCAAAGGGCTGTCCCCTTTCACTCACTTTTGAACCCTATACCTCACCAATCATTCTGTCTCAAAACACACTATTACCACGATTCCCTGAGACCTTCCACAACTGTAGGCTAGTCTTAATTCCCTAAATTTTTACTGATCAATACTGTTAATGGATAATAAATTTTAGCTATGAAGAACATACAAAAACAGTACTCCAGGCAATCAACAAGTGTAAACTTGCTTCGTGTTAAGGTAATAAGTTATTCTAAGATCAGAGTTGTTTCAGAAACTGTGTATCATGTTCTAATGTGGTTCACATAAAACAGTCTTTATTTGTGTCATTGAAGTCAAACAGCCGATGACCTTCTCTCTCAAATTCAAAAGAAATAATCAAGACTGTACCATCTCCTGTCATTTTAGTCAAGGTTGGGTTCCAAGAAGATTCACCAGAGGATACTTGCCCATGAATATCTACCACTGTCTGTGCTTAAAACATGGCAAAGAAGAAGTCAGTACATAGTGCCCCAAGTCACAGTGTTCTAAAAATTTTTGACCAGACTTTTAAAAATATATAGAAAATTAACTGGCTATCTTTAATAATTAGACAACCTGACAGTGATAAACACTGTCTATTCTCCCTATCTTCTCTCTCTCTACCTATCTTCTCACTTCTCATTCTCTCCTTAAACACACTCGTCTTTTTGTTCATTTTGATTTCCTACGTGGCCACTGCGACATGAGTTTTCTCCCTCACTGTAAGAACCTGAATCACAAGGAGGGTGGTATCTTTGTTTGGATTTCTTTATTTATAGCACACTTTAAAGCACTTTCCTGCTTCCAAGTTTTTGTCTTAGTGTCAATATTAATATGACAAACTTAATAAATAATAGACTGGAAAACAGGTGTTCTTTAAATATGTACTGGTGATATAAATAGAGAAAGTACAGAGGGTGAGAGCATTAGAAGAATTATTACTGGAAAAGGCATATGTAATTTCTCCTTTAAGGTAGGCCTTATCACCAGCAGACTCAGAAATCCAAAACCTATTAAAAATGAACCTGTTGTTCAAGAGAACCTGAATCTCAGTAAACTTCTAATCTCAAGGGACGACACTCTGGGGAACTCTCAAAACCAGGCAGTTAAAATCAATGAAAGTTCATTTAACTGAGTATTACCTTCCAAGGGTGGGGAACACCTGGACAATAGACATTATTCACACCGCACCTCTGGCCTCTTGTAGGAGGGCAGAGGGCAAATCTTTTACCCCAAAGGAAAATGTGGCCTGCACCGTCAAGGGAACTTGTTCAGCTCTACTGGAACTTCCACAATTAATTTCTGAACTGAGCCTTGATTTCTTCCTTTGTAGAGCAGAGGAAATAATCTCTACCTTGTGATTTTGTTTTATATGTTAAATGAGATCATGTATATGAAGTAGTAATTCATTCCTAATGAAATTTTAATACTCACTTTGTATTTGGTGATTATAGTGTTACCTCAGAGCCACAGTGAATAATTATAGCTGGTATTGCTCTCTCTCTTCTCATAATACACAGCATCTCAACACAGCATTTATCAGAAGGGATAAAAGCTGCTTGCTTCTCACACAATTTTAATTTTTATTCTTATTTATTTACTTGACTGACAGAGAGAAAGAAAGAGAAATACAGTGTGTGAGAAAGAGAATGATAGAGAGATCCCCCATGCACTGGTTCACTCCCCAAATGCTGGCAATATTTGGAGCTGGACTAGGACCAGAGTCAGGAGATGGACACTCCATCCAGATTTCCCAGGTTAATGGCAGAAACTAAATGACTAAAGCCATCACCACTGCCTTCCAGTGTCGCATTGGCAGGAAACTGAAGTCAGCAGCCAGAGTTGGAAGCAAATCCCAGTATTCCAATTGTGGGATGCAGGCATCCTAACCAGAAGTTAAACACCTGCTTCTTCTCATACAATTTCATACGAATAGGAGGTTGGGAGACTTGATCTTAAAATTGTAAAAGAAACTAGCCATACATTTTAAAGGGACATGCAGAAAACCCAGTGGCTCAGCGGTTGGGAGGGGTTATACAGGTTATAGCTATAACTATTGAAGTTGTAACTAATTGCCAGAAACCTAATGGCTTAAAAAGAGAAATGTGTTCTCTTACCTCTCTGGAGTTGAAAGTCTGACACAGGTCCCCCTGGGCAGCTGTGTTACTTTCTGGGGGCTGTGGAGGAGCAGCTGTTTCCATGCATTTCCCACCTCCCAAAGTCCATGTTCCTTAGCTCTCGGCTCCCTTCATCTGTCTTCAAAACTGGAAAAGTCAGATGGAATCCTCAGGTCACCAACATTCTGGTCCTCTCTTCTGTGTCACAAAGGAGCCCTTCTGACTGTCTTTGCTTTGTTACAGCCCCTTGTGAGTACAGTGGCCCTGCCTCAATAATCCTAAGATCTCTCCATACTGTAATGTTAGGTGATCAGCCCCCTTAATTCCCATTTGACAAGCAACAACATATTCACCCAGCGATTACAATGGGAAAAGATGTCAAACTAGACTTCCAATTACATAGCTATCAGTGATCATCTTATCTCCTGGTACCATCAAGTCACCTCTTATCCTAATTCTAATGGTTAGGAAGAGACCATCTCCTAGAGCCATGATTTTGCCTACTCCACTGTGAACAAAAATTGAGAAGTTACTTAGTATTCAACAGTTTATAAAGAAGTAAGATCTAAAACAAGACAGAATAAGGTAACAACAACCGGCCAAGTCATGCACTCACCAGGCAACCTGGCCTCCTCTGTGTCTGATCCATGGCTGACATTGCTAATCAAACAGATCGGTTGGCCTTAGAATCATCCACAGAGCATGTTAGGTAATCACCAATGAATATACTCAATCAAACTCGGCATTCAGACTAAAAATCCGTTTTCTCCCTGAATCTGAACAATCATAGTGGTAAACGACTTTCTCAGAGCCATTTTTGGAATAAGATAATGATCTGATGTTCTTAAATTAGCAGACAAAAGGAATCCCAGCTGGTCTAAAACAAGTAATCTTAAAAAGAATAAAACTAAGTGAAATAATTAATTTAGTCCCTGACAGAAACACTGTGTCTCCATAAAACCTCATATAGAAATCATATTATGGGTAAGAAAACCATTTATTAGTGGCTCCTACACAACATAAAAATCTTGTTTTGAGATATACTGTTATGCATCTTTTTTTCTGTAGGTTGTTTTGCCTAGAAAAAGATTTGTGGGGGCTGGCACCGTGGCTCACTTGGTTAATCCTCCACCTGCGGCACCAGCATCCCATATGGGCACCGGATTCTAGTCCCTGTTGCTCCTCTTTCAGTCCAGCTCTCTGCTGTGGCCCGGGAAGGCAGCGGAGGATGGCCCAAGTGCTTGGGCCCTGTACCCACATGGGAGACCAGGAGAAGCACCTGGCTCCTGGCTGCAGACCGGCATAGCTCCGGCAGTAGCGGCCATTTGGGGGGTGAACCAACAGAAGGAAGATCGTTCTCTCTGTCTCTCTCTCTCTCACTGTCTGTCAAATTTAAAAAAATCTTAATTAAAAAAAGAAAGATTTGTGTACATATATACATATATACATATTGTAAAGATTTTATTGTTCTGAAATAAGCTACTAGGGCCTTTTACAAGATTTTATACAAATTATCGTAGTAGAAAAATGAAGAGAAACACCACACTAAACCTAGCCATGAGAAATAAATGTTGGTGCTTCTTCTGTCACAAGTCTTCCCATTCCTTCATTCACCCTCTTTATATTGAGCCTCTGTCCTAGACTCTGAGGGGACAGCATGAATAAAACTCTTGCCCCCAATTAGTTCAGTTATACATTCAAAAAATACATTTTAAACACCAAAGTGATATTATATTTTCATATGGTCTGTAATTTGCTTTTGCTTTGTCCTCATGTTTTGCAGTATCTCCCTAATTCTGTCAGGCTTTTGCAGTTTGCCCAGTCACCTGGATGGACCCAAGAAGACGAACACTGGTCGGCACGTAACTGGCAGTCTAATCTGACTTCTCTTTCCATACTTTGTTGTTAGGTGTTCCGAAGGAAACTCGCTCCCAGAAAAGAAAGAATTATTTAGACAACAGGCTCTCTAGGAAATTAAAGAGTTTCATTCTATCCCATTTCAGTTATCCACTGTTGCATACTGTGTTCTCCCTAAAACTCAGTGACTTAAAATAGTCATTATTAACTCTTACAGTTCTGGGGGTTTGCTTGGAGCAAATGCCTCTTGCAGCTTTTTTCTCGTGTAGTTTGATGGCCTCTGGTCTTGGAGTCATCTTCCTCATTCACATGCTGCATTGATTCTGGCTATGGGCTGGCATGTCAGCAAAGCCGTTGTCTAACACACCTAGCACAGCTTCTGTGGGGGCTGGGCTTCCTGCCAACACAGCAGTTGGGTTTTGAGATCAAGTGTGCCTGAACACTAGGCACAAGCTCTAGCCCCTTTTATGACTTCACCTTGGATGTCACAAAGGGCTGTCAGAGCAGGAGCTCACCATTCCATTGTGAAGTGAAGAGCATGCCAACTGGGGTGCAGGAAATGCAATCTGCCTCATAGCTCAACCCACTCACATCTTTGATCTGTGTAGTCAGGGATAGCAGACCTCTCCGGCTACTGTAGGTTCAACAGAAAAGTTCTATCAGGATCGAATGTCTCTAAAATAACACATCCCAAAGAGTCAGTTTACTGAAAAAGAACTGATAATGGAATAACCAACTATTTTCCTAATTCATCCATACTTACCCCCTGGATTAACATTTAAAAATATTAGTAGATGATCGAACAGTCTGATTTGGTGTGTTCTTCTTTAACTGGAAAAACTAACCTCGAGGAAGTAACACACAGAAAAACAATCTTTCCTACGCATGAAGCATGGAAAGAACCATTTGTTTTGGCATCAAAGGCTATTAACATTATAATGTAAGTTAACCAGTTCTTCAGTGTAATTTTAAAAAGGCTGTGAAACAGGTTACAGACATCTGTGGGATCTCTAGGTACATTGCTAGGAAGGGTTAAACACTTTAAAATCTCTCAGGTGGATATACAGTTCAGCACATGCTTACTTGGACTTACCCCTAATGGTAGAGCTAGAAACGTGCCATGGGATTACAATTCCCATTAGGTTGGCATGTACCAATGCCATCTTACTAGTTAAAGTAATCAGTTTAAGTTCATAATTGAACATAAAGATAGGATTAAGTGTCAAAGGGAATCACATAAACAAGACCATTGTCTGCTAATACTAACTGATTAAAAAGGAGGGTAGGCCACTCACTAGGCTAATCCTCCGCCTGCAGCACCGGCACCCCGGGTTCTAGTCCTGGTCTGGGCGCCGGATTCTGTCCCGGTTGCTCCTCTTCCAGTCCAGCTGTCTGCTGTGGCCCGGGAGTGCAGTGGAGAATGGCCCAAGTGCTTGGGCCCTGCACCCACATGGGAGACCAGGAGAAGCACCTGGCTCCTGGCTTTGGATCAGCGCGACGCGCCGGCTGCAGCAGCCATTGGAGGGTGAACCAATGGCAAAAGAAGACCTTTCTCTCTGTCTCTCTCTCTCTCTCACTGTCCACTCAGCCTGTCAAAAAAAAATTTTTTAAAAGGAGGGAATGATCCAACTTGGGAAGTGGGATACACAGCAGACTCATAGCATGGCAGATGCCCTAAACAGCACTCTGGCCTCAGAGTCAGACATTAAGGCATTCAGATCCTGCTAAAAAGCCCATGAGAGTTTCTCATGCATGGAAAGCCAAGACACTCTGGCAAAAAAAAAAAAAAAATGACCTAAATGAAAGATCTCTGTGAGATCCCAGTAGATAGAACGGGCCATCATAGAAGGAGGTACCTTTCTCTGAAGGAAGGAGAGAACTTCCACTTTGACTATGGCCTTGTTTAAATAAGCTCAGTGTTTGTGAACTCAAGAGGCTTCCATAGCCTTGGCGCTCATGACAAAAGCCTCGGATGATTTCTGACATCATAAAAAGAGTGTCAATTGTTAAATCAACAATGGGAGTCACTGTGCACCTTCTCCCCGTGTAGGATCTCTGTCCTAAGTGTGTTGTACTATGTGAATTAACAATATAACTAGTACTCAAACAGTATTTTATACTTTGTGTGTCTGTGTGGGTGCAAACTGTTGAAATTTTTACTTAGTATATACTAAGTTGATCTTCTGTATATAAAGATAATTAAAAATGAATCTTAATGGAGAATAGGAGGAGAGAGGGAGTAGGAGATGGGATGGTTTGCAGGTGGGAGGGTGGTTATGGGGGGAAAAAACACTATAATCCAAAAGCTGTACTTTTGAAATTTATTAAATAAAAGTTAAAAAAAAATCTTTCAGGTGAATTTTACCAAAAAAATCAGGTAAGACTCTAAAGGAAATATTTAATAAATACTTGTGAAAGCAAATCAATGTTTTCTACTTTTATTCAACAATTAGTGAACACCTATGATATACCTGGTGCAAATGAGTACTAAGTACCCATGGCACAGTAGCTATTAGGATACATTTACAGTAGGGGCATCCCTCAGTATATGATGGACCACAGTTCCAGGATCCAATGTGGACACCAAAATCTGTGGATGCTCTAGTTCCTTATGAAAAAAGGTGTAGTGTTTGCATATAACCTGCATGCTTCCTACTGTATGCATTAAAACCTCTCCAGATTACTTTTTTAAAAAAAAAATTATTTACATATTTGAAAAGCAGTGTTACAAAGAAGCAGAGACAGAGAGAGAAAGAAAGAGAGGTCTTCCTGCTGGTTCACTCCCCAGATAGCCTCAAGGACTGGAGCTGAGCCGATCCAAAGCCAGGAGCCAGGAGCTTCTTCTGGGTCTCCCATGCGGGTGTAGGAGCCCAAGGAGTTGGGCCATTTTCCACTGCTTTCTCAGGCCATAGCAGAGAGCTCGATTGGAAGTGGAGCAGCTGGGACTCGAACCGGCACCCATATAGGATGCTGGCACTGCAGCAGCAGCTTTACCTGCTATGCCACAGTAAAGGCCCCTAGATTACTTATAAGACCCAATACAATGTCAATGCTATTAAACAGTTGTTATACTGTATTGATTAGGGAATAATAACAAGAAAAAATTCTGTACAAGCTCAGTAGAGATGCATTTTTAAAAAATATTTTCAGTCCTTAATTGGTTGAATTTGTGGATAGGAAATTTCACAGATTTGAAGCACTATCATACAAATATGGTTGAAATTATATATTTTTTTAAATTTTTTATTTGAGAGCCAGAAAAAGAGAGATATCTACTGTGCTGGTTCACTCCCCTAAATGCCTTCTCAGGTACATTAGCAAGGAGCTGGATCAGAAGCAGAGGAGGCAAAACTCATACTAGTGTTCCCATATAGAATGCCAGCAACCCAAGCAGTGGTGTAACCCACTGAACCAAACGCCCCATGCATTGTTTTTGTTTTGTTTTTTGACAGGCAGAGTTAGTGAGAAAGAGACAGAGAGAAAGGTCTTCCTTTTTCCATTGGTTCACCCCCCCCCCCACACCCAGTGGCCACTATGACTGGCGTGTTGCGGCCGGCACACTGTGCCCATCCGAAGCCAGGAGCCAGGTGCTTCTCCTGGTCTCCCATGTGGGTGCAGGGCCCAAGCACTTGGGCCATTCTCCACTGCACTCCCAGGCCACAGCAGACAGCTGGACTGGAAGAGGAGCAACCGGGACAGAATCCGGCGCCCAGACCAGGACTAGAACCCGGGGTGCCGGTGTTGCAGGCAGAGGATTAGCCTAGTGAGCCACGGCACCAGCCAATGCATTGTTTTAATATCCTCAACGGTGCCACAGATTTATTGTTTGACAGTGGATTTAATTAACAACCAAACATTTCAAATCAGATCATTAAGATGTGTGATTATTCAGTAAAGCTATGGCCTGCTCTGTGCCGCAGCAGGTAAAGCCACCACCTGTGGTGCCAGCAGCCCAAATGGGCACTGGTTCAAGTCCTGGCCCCTCTACTTTCTCTCCAGCTCCCTGCTAATGAGCCTGGGAAAGTAGCAGAGGATGGCCCAATGTTTGAGCCCCTGCGCCATCTGCATGGGCAACTCAGATGAAGCGTCTGGCTCCTAACTTCAGATTGGCACAACTCCAGTCATTGCAGCTATTTGGGGAGTGAACCAGCAGATGGAAGATTTCTCTCCCTCTCTCTAACTCTGCCTTTCAAGTAAATAAGTAAATCTTAATTAAAAAAAAAAAACGCAATAAAGCCAGTTGTTGTTATGATCTGATAGTATTAAGCAAAAGATGAAGTTAGGACATAATTACTGTAACGGCAATGACATGGAGCTGAGAACAGATCCAGTGTTCTAACCACAGGTCAGCCACTATTAAGTAGATTAATATGGTTCAGTCATCTAATCTTTCCAGACCCAAATCCCCTTTCAGTCATAGAATTCTCATTATCAATTATCTAGAAGTCATTTGGAAGTGAGAGAAGCTGGCCCAGGATTTGGGTAACGTGAGTGAGTGGTAATAACAGATGGAAAGTTTATCCAGAAAGGTTAAGAGGGCCTGCCTTGGCATAAAGCTGATCCAGTGAGTAAATCCACAGCTGTGTCCTGCAAGCTCTCCGCCTGGGAGACAATTTGGACAGCAATACCAGCTGCAACTGAGCAGAAATTGTAGCACAGCCTCACCAGACTTCACGCAGAAAGTTTGATGACATTCCATTTCTTTTTTTTTTTCTTTTTTTTTGACAGGCAGAGTGGACAGTGAGAGAGACAGAGAGAAAGGTCTTCCCTTGCCGTTGGTTCACCCTTCAATGGCTGCCACGGCCGGCACACTGCAGCCGGCACACCGCGCTGATCTGATGGCAGGAGCCAGGTACTTCTCCTGGTCTCCCATGGGGTGCAGGGCACAAGTACTTGGGCCATCCTCCACTGCACTCCCTGGCCACAGCAGAGAGCTGGCCTGGAAGAGGGGCAACCAGGACAGAATCCGGCGCCCCGACTGGGACTAGAACCCAGTGTGCCGGCACCGCTAGGCGGAGGATTAGCCTAGTAAGCCGTGGCGCCGGCCTGATGACATTCCATTTCATTGACTCTATTTGACAAACAGCTGCACACTTAAGTGCAATCAACTTACAGCATAGCAATAAAACTTAACTTTAAAAACATGTTTAGGAGCACATATTTGGCACAGCGGTTAAGATGCCACTGTAACACTGCCAACCCATATCAGAGTGCCTGGGTTCCAGTCCCAACTCTGCTTGCAATTCCAGCTTCCTGCTAACGAGCACCATGGGAGACAGCAGGTGATGACTCAAATATTTAGGTCCCTGCTATCCTGGCTCCTGGCATTTGAGAAGTGAACCAGTGGATGGAAGATCGCTCTCCCTTGACCCAGCTTTCCAATAAATAAAAATAAGAGTAACAAAAAGATGAAAAGGTACCAATAATAAATAAAACACCTTTAAAAGTGTTTCGTATTTTTATTGCAATCAGGCATATATAACCTGAAGTTTGCCATTTTCACCATTTTTTTTCTTTTTTTTTGACAGGCAGAGTGGACAGCAAGAGAGAGAAAGGTCTTCCTTTGCCGTTGCTTCACCCTCCAATGGCCGCTGCGGCTGGCGCACCGCACTGATCCGATGGCAGGAGCCAGGTACTTATCCTGGTCTCCCATGGGGTGCAGGGCCCAAGCACTTGGGCCATTCTCCACTGCACTCCCTGGCCACAGCAGAGAGCTGGCCTGGAAGAGGGGCAACCGGGACAGAATCTGGAGCCCCGACTAGGACTAGAACCCGGTGTGCCGGCACCGCAAGGCGGAGGATTAGCCTAGTGAGCCACTGCGCCGGCCCCATTTTCCCCATTTCTACACAAACAATTCAGCCGCTTTAATCACAGTCACGATGCTGTGCGACCACCGCCATTTTTGTTCACTCACCCACCAATGACCCTATCCTAGGCACTGGGGATTCCACATTGAACAAAGCAATGACACGGTTCATGCCTTCCTGGCACCATCACACACCAGTATTCGGGTGCTGGTTTTCATATTTCACAAAGGTAACCTGACCAAGAAGGTGGAAGGATGCAACCGGGGGGACGGCATAGGGGTCACAGGTACACCCACTCTTTCCCACTTCTGAAAGCTGCTAAGAAGAGACGCCCTTAATCCAAGCCAGAGAGACCTGTGCGCTTCGGGGGCGGGGCCTGCCTGGGCGGGGCGGGGCCCTCGTGAGCAGGGCGGGGCGGAGGAGCCACGGGCGGGGCCGGTTCCGGCGCCTCCCTCCGCCCGGCGTGGACCTGTACTGGACGCCGCTGCACGGTGAGACCTGCGTGCTCCGGGGGCGGGGCCTGCGCGCTCCGGGGGCGGGGCTGCGTGGGCGGGGCGGGGCCGGTTCCGGCGCCTCCCTCCGCTCGGCGTGGACCTGTACTGGACGCCGCCGCACTGAGACCTGCGAGTTCCGGGGGCGGGGCTGCGTGGGCGGGGCGGGGCCGGTCCCGGCGCTCCCTCCGCCCGGCGTGGACCTGTACTGGACGCCGCTGCACGGTGAGACCTGTGTGCTCCGGGGGCGGGGCCTGCGCGCTCCGGGGGCGGGGCCTGCCTGGGCGGGGCGGGGCCGGTCCCGGCGCTCCCTCCGCTCGGCGTGGACCTGTACTGGACGCCGCCGCACAGCGCTGCGGCTCCTCCCGCGCCCCTCCGTGGGGGCGGCGGCGGCGGCGGCCTGGCGCCCCACCGGCCTGGGATGCGGCTGACGCGGAAGCGCCTCTGCGCGTTTCTGATCGCCCTCTACTGCCTCTTCTCCTTCTACGCCGCCTACCAAGTCTTCTTCGGGAGCCGCAGCCGGCCGCCAGCCGCCGCCTCGCGAGGGCTCCGGAAAGGGGCGGCCCTGGCGCCGGAGAGGCGCGGCCGAGGTAGGGCCGAGGGGACGGCCTGGACGCGGGGCGGCGGGGCCTGGTGAAGCCGAGCCGCGCGGCGGGGCCCAGCCCCAGGGCTCGCGGAGCCCGCGGCCTGGCCTGCTCCAGCCCCCGCAGGCGGCCTGGGGTGGGCACTGAAGGGCGTCCCTTACTCGCGGCCCGAATCTCGCTTGCTGACAGGCGCGCACGCTTTCCAAGCACGGATTCCGTTTCCTGCACGTTTTCCCAAAGGCCAGAGAGTTGCGGGAAGCCTGCACTGTCAGTCCTGGGTTTAAGACCCAGGGGAATAACCCCTCGTCGTTTCTCAGAGCAAGGGTTCTGTAGGAATTGAGTCGCTTTTTTCTGAATTGTGTTCGTTTAGCCCGTTCAAATTCTGTTGGTTTATCTTTCTGAATAATTGAAGTGATGAAATTAGGCTAATTTACATAGCTTGAATCTTTCTACAACCGCAGTTACTCCATATGGTAAACACTGTTAACCTTTTTTTAAAGCAGGACAGTCTACCTTGGGAAGTGAAGAATGGAATCCTTGGGAAATAGATGAAAGGAATGAGCAGCGACTCAGAGTTAAAGCTAGACTCCAAATACTAAATAAATCCACGAGGACAAAACCGGACCTCCATATACAAATCTGGGGGAAAGCCGCCATTGGTAAGTTAATAGTTCACAAAGGGCACTTTATTGATACTAAATTCATCTTAAGATTTTTTTATGTACTTGATAGAGATGGAGAGTCAGAGAGGTCTTCCATCTGCTGGTTCACTCCGCAGCTGGCCGCAGCAGCAGCACTCAACCAGGCAGAGGCCAGGAATTTCTTTTTTTTTATTTGACAGAGTTAGACTGAGAGAGAGAGAGAAAGGTCTTCCTTCCGTTGGTTCACCCCCCAAATGGCCACTATAGCCAGGTGCTTCCTCCTGGTCTCCCATGCGGGTGCAGGGCCCAAGCACTTGGGCCACAGCAGAGAGCTGGACTGGAAGAGAAGCAACCAGGACTGGAACCCTGCGCCCATATGGGATGCCGGCGCCGCAGGCGGAGGATTAATCAAGCAAGCCACGGTGCCGGGCCTGAAAAGCCAGGAATTTCATCTGGGTCTCCCACATGGGTGGCAGGGGCCCAAGCACTTGAGTCATCTTCCACAGCTTTCCCAAGCCATTAGCAGGGAACTGGATTGGAAGTGGAAAGTTGGGAATCCACACACCTGGAGCCTATGTGAGATGCCCCCATCACCGGAGGAAGCTTTACCAACTGCACCACAATGTGGGCCTCTTAATGTAGTTTGCCATGATTTGTTAATTAAGGTAGCCTCCGTTTTTTCACTTTCCATTAGACAGTCTCAGGGCCAATACCCACATTCCATTTTTGCTGTTCAGTATCTCACAGCTTTGTCGGTGCAACAAGTAGATTGTATGGCAGTTTATATTAAAATGCTTATGTCAACTGAATTTTCATGAATCTGTGTGTTTAGTGGACAGTTGCTATACAGGAATAAGATGTGGCCCCTGCCCTTGATGGCCAGATAAATTTGAGAAACACTGAACAGAACAAAGTCCAACAAGTTGTGTTTTTGCAGACCTTTCTCAGAGCCTTTAATATGCCAGTGTTCATCACGCGTGTCCAAGAAGGGGATGTAGTATGTTGCTGATTAAACTTAATTGCCCACAGAACATTTTTACTCTTGAGTATCATGAGTGTTTAATTTTCCAGGATACGTATTATGACGAACTAGAGAATGGGACACTCAGAGATGGAAGTCTTAGAATTTAGTGAATTAAAAGAAAGGGCTTTATTGGCCCTTTGGACATGCTTTGGATCTATGTTCGGTAGTGAATATGGGTAGAAAGTACCAGAGGAGGAGCCGGCATTGTGGTGTAGCAGGTTAAGCCACCACCTGCAGTGCTGGTTCCAGTCCCGGTTGCTTCACTTCTGATCCAGCTCCCTGCTGATGCACCTGGGAAAGCAGTAGAGGATGGCCCAAGTGCTTGGGCCCTTGTATCCAACTAGGAGACCCAGAAGAAGCTCCTGGCTCCAGTTTGGCCCAGCCGCAGCCATTGCAGCTATTTGGGGAGTGAACCAGCGGGTGGAAGCATTTGTTCTCTCTATTCTCTCTCTCTCACTCACTCTCAACCTGTAACTGTGCTTTCAAATAAATAAGTTTTTTTTTTTTTAATTTTGCTTTAAAAAAAGGAAAGTGGAAGGAGAGAAAAGGAAACATAGCATAGTATCTACCTGGTAGTGTTTTATGAGTTCATTCATGATTGCATGTAAATTGTACATTCTTGGAGATTATGCTCCACCTCTAAATTTCAAGTCCTCAGACCCAGACCCCCGGCCGTGAGGTTATAGCAGTAGTTTTAAATAGCAACTCCAAAATTGATTTCTTCCTATAAATCTCCACTTCCCCTTCTTGTTTTTAATTAACTTTACATCTTAAACATGTTTTCTTGTTTCTAGACTTTTCTCTTTTCAGTCCAATAGGTGGCCAGGTGGATTTTATCAAACAGTACTTCTTTCAACCTGTTTCCCAGACACAGGCAGAAGATACCCCTTGATAACCCAGGGAAAAAGTGGAAGGAAAAAGAAGTTAATGGTCCAAGCAATTTGGACATGCAACCAAGCCAGCTCCGTTAGGTTTTAAGGACTGGGAATAATCCGTGGCTTAATGTCATCCTCCCTGTTTTCATAGAGGATAGTGTGTGTTCACAGCCTAGTGGTTTCATCAGGCTGTTTGCTGCAGGTAGGATTTTAGGAACTCAACAGCCTTCATTCATTTTGACTTCTGTTTGTTACTTTTTAGTCCCAGGTGACAGTGTTTCTGCTGGTATAGCATTCTTCAGAACCTTTGAGTTTTTGGTGTATGTCGCAGGGATTCATTCCATTAAACCAGAAGCTCCTCCACACACTTTCCTGAATAATTCGGTCTCTGGTTCTGGCTTCTGCTGAGATGCATAAGTCACTAGTATAATCCCTTGAAGGAGCCCTCTGTGTGAATAAATTGTCTTCAGAATTCCTCAAGCCTCTCCGCCTTACGCAATTCCAAAGCTGCAAGTACTCGTTATGTAATGAGAGTTGTAAACAGAGACAAGACACCATGGCCAGGAAGCAGCGGGGGGGGCGGGGGGGGCCTGCCGCCGCCGTCACTGGAGACAGCATAAGGCCCAGTTGGGTTTTTATCCAAAAGCCGGAGACCTGAACAAACGGGTATTTCCTTATGTATGGTTTTAGCTTCTTTGTCTACTTTATATGGTTACTTGCATACATTTAATTGAATATGCTAATGTTGCATGTCCTCTGTATGCATTGATAAAATACTGCGTGCATACATAGTTACTGATGATGTTTCTTTCACACATACTGAGCTATATGGTGTCTGGCAAGGGTTGACACCATTGCTCTGATTAGCAAGCAGAAGCTGAAATGGTTACATCTAAGCAGATAATAACTAGAGTAGAAGCCTTCATAGGGAAGCAGATAATGACCACATTCCATTTCCAGGGTAAGTTTCTTTTTTTCTTTCTGACCTTGGGGAGGCCTGTACCACAGTCACCCCTTTTTCTAGTACCAGTATCTATTTACATTATCCATAGTTTCCTCTACCTGCTCTAACAAATTACCACACATTTAGTGAATCAGAGTAAACACAAATTTATCATCTGACATTTCTGAAAGCAGAAGTCTAACATAGTGTCTGTGAGCCTCTAGATTCTGTTTCCTTGTCTCTTGCGGTTTCTAGAGGCCACCCTCATTTCTGATTTATAGCCCCACATCACACTGACCCTCTGCCTCCACCCTCGCATGTCCTTCCCCTCACTCAGACCTTCCAGGCACTTGCCTCTGTGCGGCTCCTGTGATCATCCAGGGCCCACCCAGGTGATCCAAGATGCAGTCACGTTAGAAAGTCTCTAATGCCACATCCGGTGATACATTCATGAGTTCTAGAGAATAGAACATGGGCATTTTTGCGGCGAAGGCATTACTCAGCCCAGTGTGTTTGAAAGTGTCGCTCCCCCTCTTCGTGGAGGAACGACACTAAACCCTGCCTAGGCCTCATATCCGAGTCACGGCACCATTATGTCGCTCCCCCTCTTCGTGGAGGAACGACACTAAACCCTGCCTAGGCTTCATATCCGAGTCACGGCACCATTATGTCGCTCCCCCTCTTCGTGGAGGAACGACACTAAACCCTGCCTAGGCCTCATATCCGAGTCACGGCACCATTATGTCGCTCCCCCTCTTCGTGGAGGAACGACACTAAACCCTGCCTAGGCTTCATATCCGAGTCACGGCACCATTATGTCGCTCCCCCTCTTCGTGGAGGAACGACACAGGACCCTGCTGTTCTTTTGTCTGCTCGGCCCTCCCCGGGTTTGCTGCTGGTTCTTCCCGGGTTGGCTACTGTCCCTTCCACCTCCGTGGAAGGGCAGTTCCCCCTGGCCACATTCCCCACTTCCGCGGGGGAGCGGCACACCGCCGGCCGGCTCTCTCGGGGGCTGCACAGGTGTTCCCCTTAGATGTTCCTCTTAGATGTTCCTGGTGCATACCGTCTCTCTCCTCCTTTATAGTCCTCCTCCGCCAATCCTAACTCGGCTGCCCACACGCCGAGTACGCTGCTCTCCAATCAGGAGCAAGTCCTACAGTTTATTAGCTGAACTGGAGGCAGCTGTGTAGAAACTGTTTTCTTCTCTCCCAGCGCCATATTGTGGGAGAGCAGATGCATAGAATAAGTCTTAATTCCAGTAGCTTAGTCCAGTCCGGATTGCTCCCCACAGAAAGCATTATCTGATTGGCCAAGTTGGTTGGTTTGGTGTCCAGGGAGCAGTGAGAATGGGGTAAAACACATTTTTCAATGCTGTAACAAAGTTCCCAGAGGTATTACAAAGGTCTGAAT